GAGAATCACATGGAAACCGATGTTGTTTCATATAACCACTAGGTACATCAAAATCTGTAGTATTATGTTGCATATTTATGTTTTTTTTTGTTGATTTTTCGAAGTTCTGAACATTTGTTTATTCTGGCCAGTTTTTGCATATTTTATTTTAAATACTGTTTATTATAACGGTCATCAGTTATTATATGTATAGTGTATACCGCGCACAATTCACCAAAAACACTAATACACGATGATGGCAATAATATGCGCCCCATCTGGCCTCATAATGTGCACTCCTTTATTCAATTAGGATTAATATTTAGTATTTTTGTCCATATCATAAAACCCCCGATTGGACAATAACTTTTCGGATATGACAACCAAATATTTCATTATTTTGATGAAAGTATTGTTAATATTTTAGTCTCCGTTCTGCTGGTTGATTGATTATTCGAGTATACTAGCATGGACAATGGACATACTATCTATGTTTTATTTAATACCATTCTTATTTATTTTTTAGATGTTTTTTATTTTCCAAAAGCATATTAATTAAACCGATTGAACAGACTGGGAACATAAAATAATGTCATGCACTCCAGGTCACACAAATATTATGTGTGTGTGTGTGTGTGTGTGTGTGTGTGTGTGTGTGTGTTTGTAGCAGCAGGAGTCAACATCGTCGAGCTATCTTCAACAGTTAAAAATAATGCTAATATAATATTATACTAATGAAAGTAAAAGTAGTAGATCGCTTTTGGCTCAACAGATATAAATTATAATTTAATAACAAAGCATAATAATATGTTAGCCAGCCGGCAGCCACTATAACTAACCTTTTTGCGCGAATACGATTACACGCAGCACCAAAATAACGAAGAAAATGATTAAGACTCTTCAAAGGCGTACTAAAAGTGAAATTAAAAATGAAATTTCCAAATTGTTTATAGCAAATTTTAGTTACATTGCAATTATTTTTAATTTTTAAATACATATAGGTACAAATACATCCATTAAAAAAGTAATTAAACAAATTTATTCGACTATAGGAATGTTAAATTGGCATAAAAAAATATTATTTTACCTAACTGAATAACTCGCTAATCACAGAAAGAAACAGTATACAATATATAATATAAAAAAATGTAAAAACCTCTGCAGGCTCGCATGTTACGGCATGGTGAGTTGCAGTTATTATTGAAACTATGACATTTTGTATTTTTGTCTTCCAATTTGGGCTTGATTCTTTATTTAAATGGCGATCTAGATGTTGAGATAAAAAACATTTTAAAAATGATAATTTTTTTCGTACCTAAGTATTGGCGACATTTGATGGTGGTCATTTCAATACATATTTTACTTTTTCTTGAGTTTTTACTAGAAAAAAGATGCAAAATAGTTTTTCAAGTGTCGTTAGTCCACTAAGATAGTACTATCTATGATACCCATAACAGTCGAAATTAATAATATACTGTATAAAAATCTTATCGAAAAATATAATACTTAATAAATCAAAGGAAATTCGTGCGAAAACAACATTGCGAGTATAATTTAAACTTTACATATTACACAACAATTACAGTGGTAATAAATGTACACGTGAATATTAAACAATTGATGCGAAATGTTGGTGAAACACGCTTAATTTGTTTATTTAAATACCTAGTCATATTTTTTTTTATAATTAAGTTCCAAGCCATGCCATCAATTTGACAAGAGTGTCTAAAATAAAGAAGTGCTGTATTTCAAACTTAAAAGTGCGTGTTAAAATATAATATTTTAATAAACCTACCTGTATAATAATAACTAATAAAATTTGTTTATACTTTTATTTTCTAATAATTTAAGTGCATAAAAATACTCTAAACAGCTTACACACTATATTATTAAAATGTTATCGATGGACGATGGTTGATAAAATATTTAAATATACATTATTATTTATTATATTATATTATATGTATTTTAAACACGTTTGGCTTTTGCATGTTTACTATTACCTACATCCATTAGATAACTACAGTTTGATAGAAACAATCAACAGTTGTTGATGTGAACAGCTAACGGAAACCTACATCTTATTTTCTAAATAAAATTATTAGAAACAAAAAATATAAATGTACTATAAAATGAAAACACTTTTGAAGCTCTATCTTATTTAAGAAGTGCCAACTTGCAAAATAAAAGTATATAACTTTGACAGGATTCGAGGGCACTTTATCTCGTCTTACTAATATTAATAACGATAACATTATCGTTAATAAAAGAATCAACTTGACAAATAAATTTAACAATAACATAATGTTTTCATGGATACCCAGGCACTACGGAATAATTGGTAATGGTAATGAAAGAGCGGACATACTTACCAAGTAAAACGCTAAATTAAACGAAATAAAAAGAACAACAGAAAAATGGAATAATCCAATGTCTCTCAAAAGAAGAGACGAAGTTGTATAATTCGCCTTAGAATAGGGCCATACACACTACACATATGGCCATCTCATGAAAAAAGAGCCACCAAGAACATGTCTTACATGCAGATATCTAACCACGATCAAACACATCATTATAGAATGTAGAGGCGCGCAAGAGGACCGAAAAAAATACACATACCTGAGCACCTTCAAGACTTACTGGGCCCCGACGAAGAATCCATCCAAAATATATAGTTATTTAAGAAAAATATTAAGCTGTACAATTTAGTTTATTCTTCTTTTTATTCATCTTTAGTAAAAAAAGAAAACATTTTATAAACTCACTACACTTAGTAATGTTCAAGCCAATACAGATAGACCGCTATTTTTGGTTAGGTTTGGTATCTTACGTTTTTTTTCATCAATCCAGAAGTCGATTTAGTCGAGAAAAAATTTAAAATGCAATAACGTATTACCTACTGAAATTGAAACATAAGAGTCAAAAAAGTAAATGTTATCTTTAACTAAATAAACGATGCGATAGGTATATAAAAAAAAATTCGATGATAAGTTGTCTCTTAGCAGTCCTACTAGTCTACTATAAATTGTTATTTGTTTCACTGCAGTTTCTCTACGAACAAACCTACACATCAATACTCGTAACCGTAAGTACCTACTAATAATTAATTCCAATTTAACAAAACCATTACCTATATAATACACAACAGCTATTGTCTAGTGCTTACATAAACATTCTTATTCAAATAGTGCATCTTTCAACATACTAATTACTAATTAGGTACTGTTAAACCATACTATAACCTACCTATGTCTTATATATATATTTGGCCCATCAATAACGTGCTTGCCATAAAAACCACTTATCATATTTACGTCCACAATTTAAGGTTTGAATCATTATTGTAACGTTTAATATTTTGGCTTCAACATCAGTTATTATGCATTTATTTTTAAATAAGGATTAATAGAGGCATAATATCCTATATTTCCTTCTTAAGCTCCTATCGTCATCATGCCATTCATTGCTCTCGTGTATGTATCCAGCTTATAACCTTTCACTTTCTGAGTTTTTGACAGTATTTTTAAAGTTTTTAAGATTTCCGATGGTATACCTACTTTATTACCTCCAGTTTCCTTTCTAGCTTTGAGTGCTTATAGTACTGACAAAACTTTTACTTTCAAACGTTGTTTCATGCCGATATGTCTATTTTGTTCTACCATACCATACTCTTTTTCCGAGAGTAAAAACCCACACTCAGAGGTACAATAAACATTTTCTTAAACTTAATAGCTATCTTTTACACTAATCCATCATATTCGATAATATCCTGAGAGTCCGGCACTCATCATTTATACTATAGATTTTGTTTACTAATGTGCAAATTATTACGCATGCGTATAATATATGGTATACATTATATTACTACTGCAGTGACGACGATCAAATGGCTCGTCGGGAAACACGGCTGTGTATATGTGTGGTTGTTTTTTTCATTCCGTTCGCCTCTCACTCCCCTCCCTCGCCTAAATGAAATATAATATCGTACTATTTACACACCAGAGACAGGTGTCTACCCTCTCACCGCCACCGACACCCCAATACCACGGACATCATCATACTAGAGTACACACAATAATACAAATATAATGCCTTTGCGTATATAATAATACACAACAATAAATTGTGTATAGCATTTCACGCGTAAACTCGGCGAAGGTTGTAATATACCTCGTAGAAAAACAGATCCGTCAATAACTCACTACCACTAGGGGTTGCAGAACATACCGGGTGTGGTCAGGGTGCGGTGTGCCGGGGGCCGTGGAGGACAAAGCGATGACGTAAACGCACGCTGGAAGAGTGTATAGCCGAGGGAGAAGGTGAGTGGCGCTGACGATTGTGGAGAGGTGAATGAGAAAATAGGCTTGGCGGGAGGGTGGGCTTGGTTCTGCCGGGGAACGTGTTGCTGCAGTTTAACGATTACGGCCTCAGCAGCCCGGCCACGATATATACGCCACCGCCGAGCTTATAGTCCGCGAAAGCTTTTCTTTTTCATTTTCCGAGCTCGATTATATTTACCTATAGGTATGTACGTGTACCGTGTACGTATAGACACCGAGTGTGTTTAAATAACAATAATATATATATCGCGCAGCTATATTATATGATATAACATAACAACCGAGCGTTGTAATAACAATAACGAAATATAAAATATTACATCGAAAGGATGGAAAGCCGGTACGTACGTGATATCGCACGGTTAAAAAAGGATAAATCCATCATCTGACGCACCTGCGTATACACACACACACACACACACACACTTACAGCTGTGTAAAAATATATGAAGGTGAAAAAAAAAATCGACGATGGCGGATTTGTCGTCAAAGAGTGAG